AGGAATTCTGATCAACTCACCGATGAAATGGAAGAAAGTGATGAATCATTTTTGATTCAGTATTTCAACACAAATTTTGAACATTAAAATGGTATAAAATACCGACAGGTTGTTAGGTAAGACACATATGCAACAGTTAGGTATCTTTATTATGAAACGTTTCGCCTACACAGTAGGCTTCTTCAGTCGAGTACAGAAAAGTTGATAGAAGCAGAAGATACTTGAAGACGATGTAATCAGTCCATCACCCTTAAAGTTTTGAGGTGGTCAGTCCCTCAGTCTGGAGAAGAGCATTGTTCCATAGTATGAAACAATATGGAGATGAAGTGACAGGATGGAGCTTTATATAGAGGGACCTGACCTCTCAACATCTGAGTTCTTACCTCTTCTAGTGACCTACGACTCACCTCTTGGCCCTATATAAAGCTCCATCCTGTCACTTCATCTCCATATTGTTTCATACTATGGAACAATGCTCTTCTCCAGACTGAGGGACTGACCACCTCAAAACTTTAAGGGTGATGGACTGATTACATCGTCTTCAAGTATCTTCTGCTTCTATCAACTTTTCTGTACTCGACTGAAGAAGCCTACTGTGTAGGCGAAACGTTTCATAATAAAGATACCTAACTGTTGCATATGTGTCTTACCTAACAACACAAATTTTAATAATCCCTTCGAGAGAACGGGAGTGCTTTGAAACCCGTGAAAAGCTCTTGATCCAAGGAACTCTAGCTACCCTCATATTCTTTGGACCAAATTTAATTGCCTCCCTTTCCTCGGACGCTGTATGATCCAGTGCTGGTTTATTACTGCCCCATCTTTACCTTTGATGAGTTCCCAGAGTTTTTCTACTCCCGGAGCCCGGTCATAGGCCAGGCTCCAGGAGCTGAACAAATTATTTGAAAAGTCTCACCACTCGCATTATTTCCCTTAAATGTAATAATATAAGAGCAATAATGCCGTCAAGGTTCCAGGTTAGGTTAGGTAAGGGTTGTCAGGAAACAGGACAAGTGTTTCCTGACGCGGGTCTTAGTTATATGATGACCCACCACTGGAGCTTTTGGTCATCTGACCGAGGCCTTCCGCTGACTTACCGGTCCACCCCTTTAAAAACTGTTATTTTCGTACGTTCGGGTTATTTACGCAGTTTAGAATTATAGTGATGGAGACTTAACGACTAGTAACCCAGTTGATTGTCGCTTTAACATTTCTCTTATCATTTTATCCTTTTTTTATCGGAGGGGGGGGGGGAGAGGGAGGGCTTGATGTAATCAAAGTGATTCCATACACCACTGTTTCTATCCTGAGGGACAGTCACAAGAGCAAGTTGTAATTCTGAGAGGAACACGTGAAATTCACTTGATATGGTGGCGGTACTTTGCTTATATATTGCTGATTATTATAATCATGGGGAGTGCTAAACCCGTAGGATTATATAGCGCATGGGGGGATTGAAGGTATTCAGGCTCAGTTCAGGGAATTGGAGCACAGATCCAATTCCCTAGATCAAGAGCCCCTCCTCAGCATCAAGGAACCTCCCTTGAGGGGTTATATATTGTTGAAAACTCTTGATCTGCACCCTCAGAGTAGCAAACAGTACACAAATAACCCGCACTTAGGAGAGAGGAAGCTTATGACGACATTTCGGCCCGACTTGGACCATTTACAAGTGTGACATGGCTTGTAAATGGTCCAAGTCGAACCGAAACGTCGTCGTAAGTAGCAAGACCATTCGTTAAACACACAGAGTAGTAATGTCGACAAGTAAGGTTAACAAGACAAAAAGACTGTGTTTGGCTCGGGGTTGAGTTTTGTTTGAATTAAAGACAAACGCAGTGCTACTAAAGATTTGTTGTACCTGTGTCTTCACACCCCAAACCATTCAGTGACGGTTGGGACAAATGCTACAGCAGACGTGGCACGTAGACGTGGACTGCGGCGATGTATCTTGCAAGGACGGGCGGCAGCATTAGCCAGCTCAGTTGAGTGGGGTCACTGCTGCATTACATTGATATTTATAATGATACAAGATAGAAATATTGGTGTGTAGGGGAAGAGAAACTAATGGGAACTGTATATACTTCTCGTCCCTATGTGCGGGTTATTTGTGTATTGTTCCAGTCACGGTATTGTGCCTTTTTGTTATTTAGTAAACAGGAGGTTTGAAAACAGGAGGAAGAGGAGGAGTAAAGAACAGGTGAAAACAAAACTTAAAGTACCGGTGGGCACCTTTAAGAGGCACGTAAGTTCCTCCGTCTTCTAATAACATGTTCATTTTTCCACTATAATCTACCTTGTCCATAATTACTATCGCATTTGCTTTGTCTGTTTCGTAAGGTGAAGTCCAGGATCTTTCCTTAATTCATTGTATAACTTAACAAATCTTGATGACATTTGTGTTGCAACAAGGTAGATCATAGTAATTAGTAGATTACAGTGGCAAAAGGTAGATTAGTAGATTATAGTGGAAAATGAAGATGTTATTAGAAGACAGGGGTACTTACATGCCCTTTAAGGCTCCCAACCTTAGTTCCAGTCTCCAACATATTTTTACAAAAAGAAATCCACTAATTTCAAGATAATTTCTATTCACTCCAATGGTAACCAGGGAAGATAACAGTGCGATGACTACATTCATGGAAAAAGGGAAGGGCACTAAACCAGTAGGGATTATACCGCGCCTGGTAGGAAGTTAGGTTTGATCCAAGGTCAGGCTGTCATGTACGAAACCAGAGTTAGATCAATTTAAAGTTACGAACGATGATTCATGTGGCAGTCATGCAAAACATATATTGATGTAAATGGTTTAGAAAACCGACAAATGAAGGAAAGAGACACTTGTGCAACATTTGAGAATATTGTGGAAACGTTTCGCCATCCAGTGGCTTCTTCAATCCAATACAGAGAAGAGCGGTAGAAGAGGATGGGGTAATGAGTCCCTCAGCCTGCATTCGATGTCTTCAGTCCATCAGTCTTGAGAAAAGTACAGCATGTGTTGTTGTTGTTGTTAAAGATTCGCCGGTATTCTCCTGGCCCGGGCCCTTCCAAGTGGTGGCCCGGCACTGGCTCCTTGTCTAGGGAGTGTCTGAGACCTAAGTCTCCCATGGGAGGAGGCACAAGTACCCCCCTCATCTTGTGAGCTACAAACTCGGGCTCTGGCACCAACCCTGCCCTAGAAGGGCAGGGCATGGTGTCGATCGTGCTAGCGCTGTGCTCTCCTGTGTGGAGTGTCGTGTGTTGGTGTTCATTTTCATTCATGTTGATTCGCCGGTACTTCCGGCCCGGGTCTTCTCCAGATGGTGACCCAGCAGTGGCCCCCCGGGTGGGGGGTGACGATCATCTTCTTTCTTGGCCCTCCGGTTGGAGGGTGTCGTCGTCTTCTATCTTGCGCTGACTTCCCCGAAGAGAAGCACAGTCGGGCAGAGGCAGCAGTTACAGGGTCGATTGGAGCCACACCCCAGCTTTAGCGGACAGCAAAGTGCTGGGGAAACTTATCTTCATGGTGAATGGTCATAGATAGTCGTGCTAGAGGAGGGTACCGTCTTGAAGGTCCCCATTCTGAAGCATCCTGAAATTCCTCTTTGAGGTGTACTCGACTTCCACAAGGTGTTGGGTGTTGGCAGTGAGTAGTCTGGTCATGTCGGCAGTGGTGTATATAACAGTTTGGTCGTAGGTATATTTGACTGTTTCGTCCTGGAGGTGCTGATGGATTTCTGAAGACAGCATTCTGTTCTTATATTGCTTGGTTGTGTAGAAGTATACACCCTTCAGGTATCGGACTTGTTGTGGTGCAGCAGTGTCAGTGGCAGTGGCATCGTGAGGTGCATCCGCAGTTTCTTGTGTTTTTGCTTTCTTGGCTGGTGGCTGAACTGGTGAAGGCGAGATTTCAGACTGGTCAGTTGCTCTAGCAGTGGATGCAAGCGGTAGTGGACTCTTATTGGTGGGGTTTGCCGACGTCTCAGTGGTCTCTGATTGGTCCATCTCTGTGTCTAGTGGAGGTTGTGACAGCGGTGATGCTGGTAATATTTGCAGTAGATTTTAGGATCTCAGTGGAAGGTGGTGATGCAGGGAATGTGAGGCCAGGCATATGTACAGCATGTGCGCCGAGAAGTGGCTTATATACTGCAGATAGGCGAGTTGAAGCAGCAGAGGCAGAGTCACTGGCTGGCGGAAAGTTTTCACAGTAAAGATTCCTAACTGTTGCATAAGTGTCTTATTCATTAAAACGTATCTTATTCTTAAACTGCGCATAAACGTAATGTGGATTATCTTATCAAATACCTAGATCATATCCTGCACCAACTGTGGAAAATTCTTGCACTCGCATACCATTATATGTTATCAACCGACAGCGTCTAATTATTGAAGAGTTATTTCACTGGGTTAATTGGTTGTCTCACTGTACTGACTGGTGGTGGGCGAACAACAGAATGGGGCCAGGGTTCGAATTCTAGGCAAAGTAAGACGTCTCCCTGCACCTACTGCCCACTTTCATGCAGCAGTGAATAGAAACTTGGGTGTTAGTCGAGTGTTGACTTTTACTGGGAAACTGTTAAGTGCTAATAATGAAGCCGGGAGCACCACGAGTGTAGCTGCTCGTGCGACTACATGGTAGTTACATGATCGTGTTATCATTATTTTTTCCGGGTCTCCCGGGAGATTAGATATAACCTACTTAGTGTGCTTGATATGGAATTTTCCATTATCGCCTAAAATATCAACTTAGTAGTGTATTTAATCTCACTGTAAACAACACTGATAAACACATCTTACTGACAACATGTATATGAAATTCCCATCAAAACATGTCTATGTAGTCACAGCTGTTGATCAAGCGGAATTTTCTTAAAATAGATTTTTCCTTTTTTTTTTTTAACTACTTCATTATGTAGGCGATCTTGTTCAGTTGTTTGAAATGTTATCTAGTAGAAATACAGGTGAAACAGATGAGTAAATTGCAATTAAGGTAATATATCAACAAGTGCACAACACAATTGCTAAAAAAATAATAGATGTATGTCCTAAGCAACAAATATTTGTGCACTAATCAAGACATTTATTAAGGAGTTTTCGCCACTAGTGGCTTCTTCACCGTACACCAATAATTAGCCATAAAGAGGCTACATCTACATTTGATCCCTTTTCAGCAATAAACTGTAACAAACTGATAGTCTACATGTCTTTCATAATTCGGTCTCCTAAAGATCTTGTTTGTAGACTTACTCAGCACTGACATTTCATAATAGCCGGGTTGTGGTGCCTGTCGGACTGGTTGCAGCGAGCCACAACAACCTGACAGCTTAGGTAGTTAGAAACAATGTTGGGTCTGTAACTGAGCCAAGGAAACGATGATCCTTGGAACCATTTACACGTCATCTATATAGATGAAGGTAAATCACATACCACTAGCATGTGATGTGGTAAAGTGGTGGCCATGATTGGTGTCAACTACAAACATCCAGCAATACAAGGACTGTTATATGCTCAGACTGATGAAAGAAGCAGTGTATTCATGTCGCGCTGAGTTTATGCTGACACTAACATGGCCACCACACGCCTGCACAGGTAATGTATATTCAGCAGCAAGCGAGTAATCGTGACAAGCGAATTTAAAATACGTGTTTTGCAGGTAGTAAAACTAAAAATATTGGTGGTGCGTTAATATTTGTTATGTATCACTGAAGAGGTACCTTTACAGTGGTTGCCGCTTTTTTTCTGCAGTTTTTCGTTTATACTGTATGTTGCGTGAGTACTTCATGCATCCTATAATATAAACGAAAATTTCAACACTGGTGTACTGTAATTAGGGAAAGGGTTATGCAAAAACTGGCATGTGCTGGTGTCCTCTGATTAATGTTACATTAACCTTATACTGTTTTGGTTTCCCATCGCTTTCAAACTAAAAACAGTATTTGATTTCATCTTTGAACACCGGTGCATCCTACTTGGAGGAACGTAGGGATTGTTATTGGAGTGTGTGCTAATTTGTCAATTTTATTCTAAAACGGCATGATTTTTTTTCCCGTGAAACTTCCCGGCTATGCCTCATTTGAAGGATTTCAATTGTTAATAGCTGATGCATCTTATAAAAATGATATACTATAACTTTAGACTGTGTAGGCGCAAATTTGCCAAAATATTAATATAAAAAATTGGAATTATTGAATGCTATGGATAACTGAAGAATGCCTCTTCTGGTCTGTTTTAAACTTTTATCACTAATGTGTTTTTCTCAACGGAAAGTTTACGTTATTATTCACTGCGTAAGTCGTAATTTGACATTTTTATGAAGCAGATTTTGATATTGATTTTTATTCAGTAAGCGGAGAATGCTTCTTCTGATCAGATTCAAACCTTTAATGCTGATGCATTCTATGCACTGACTAATACCCTATATGTTTAGGCTGTGTAAGTGCAAATTTGCCAGTATTCTAACAGTAAGTTGAACAGACCTTAGAAACATTTCAAATTTACACCATGTAAATTTTTATAAAATTACCTTTAAACTATTTTGGGGATATTTTTTATTTAAAACCTATAAATATATATTAAGCTGAATTAACAATATTTTTCTACAAAGCTATATAGTCTGCTATGTGTCCTGTCATAGGAGAATAACTTGTGAGCTCCGTTAACATCAGTTAGTCTCCGTGATATAAAGGGGAAAATAACCCCTACTCAAAACCAGCCTCAAATACTAGTTTTGTTGTTATTGTTGTTGCATAACTCTACGTGAATCTCCCTCCAAGTATCGCCCAGTGATTATCTAATTCTAATAAACAAACTTTATTTCTATAAAGTGGAACACAGTATTATACAATTAGGACTGACATATGTAAACTATGCAAGTCACTGCTGTACTCAACTATTTACACTCAGTTGTATGTGGTTGCAAGGGTCAAGTCACGGCTCCTAGCCCCGCCTCTTCGCTGGTTACTAGGTTCATTTCTGGCTTCAAGAGTCTTATCGTACCTCCTCTTGAAGCTGTGTATGGATCCCACCTCTATGACTTTACTCTCCAGATTCTTCTTGACAACTCTGAGGCTGAAGAAATACTTCCGATATCCTTATGACTCTTCTGAGTTTTCATATTCAACTGTTCCCTCGTTTCTATTTCCAATCTCTGAAAAATTCTATCCCTGTTCACCTTGTCAGTTCCTCTCAGTATTTTGTATGTCGTTATCATATTCCTCTAGTTTTTTTGTCCTCCATTGTCATCAGGATCAGTGCCCTTAACCTCTCCTCATAGGACATACCCCCTTTAGCTCTGGTACTAGGCTTGTTGCAAACCTCTGCACTTTTTCTAATTTCTTGATATGCTTGACCTGTATTGGATCCATACTGGTGCTGCATACTCCAATATGGGCCTGACGTAAACATTTGCTGCAACCGTTATTTGGTTGATGTGTGCCTCAGGGGATATACTTGCTATGATACTCACCCTAAGGTCCTCCTTCTTGAGTGAGGTTTGCAGCCTTGGCCCCCCGAGCCTGTATTCCGTCTACGGTCTTCTTTGTCTTTCTCCAAGCTTCATAACTTTGCACTTGGTGGGGTTAAAATCCAAGAGCCATTTGTCGGACCAGGTCCTCGTCCACTTGTATTCTCCTCATTAGTTTCACGTCATCTGCACAAAGGGATACCTCTGACAGAAGGCATTTTGTCATGTCATTCATGTATATAATAAACAGCACCAACCCTAGGACTGATTCTTATGGAACCCCATTCGTCACATGCATCCATTACGACTCATATACTACATATATTATTAGTATTCGACTGGGTTCAGCTCTAGTTTCATTTTATTATACTCACACGTATACATTTACTATCTTAATAGAATAGCATTCAGGAGTCTGAATAAGAACTTGTTTCCAGGAACTTATATACGACATAATTTTAAGTCGGCCACTGAATACCTGGCCCCAGCAAGAGGCACCCACCTGGTCAAGCACATAAAAAATGGAGAAAGTTCAAAGGCTTGCAACTAAGAAAAATATAAACACACATGCAGTATAATGTGATTCTTTATTGACAGCGTTTCGCCCACACAGTGGGCTTTTTCAAGTCACAAACAGATCTACCTGGGGTGGAAGGTACGCGAGTATTTATAGTCAGGTTCAGAATGCTGAGGTCAGGTGGAGAATGCGAAGAAACTTCTTCATCGCTATCCCACATAAGAGCATAGGAATGGAAGAACACTGCAGAAGGTCTGCTCACAAACTTATCCAATCTCCCTTCCAAGCTACCCAAGATTTTAGACTCTATAACCCCACTCGGTACATCATCAGATGCAGCATTCTCCACCTGACCTCAGCATTCTGAACCTGACTATAAATACTCGCGTACCTTCCACCCCAGGTAGATCTGCTTGTGACTTGAAAAAGCCCACTGGGTGGGCAAAACGTTGCCAATAAAGGATCACATTATACTGCATATGTGTTTATATTTCCATTGTGTCGGTATTTTATACCATTTATTTCCAGCTTGCAACTAAGCTAGTATCAGAAAAGAGAAAAATGCACTATGTGTAGAGTTTGAAAAACACTGAACCTGACCACCTTGGCAAAGAGGGACACGGGGAGACATGATTACATCACACAAAATCTTAAAGGAAATTAATAGGGCAGATAAGGACATCGTTTGAATTAAGATGACAAGGTTACAGCTGAAAGTTGAATACAGATGAGTCACAGGAACATAAGGAAGTATTTTCTTTAGGCTCAGGATGGTTAAAAAGTGGTAAGATTTCTATGAGCCAGTTGTGGAGGGAAACTCCGTACACAACTTCCAAAGTAGATATGGTATGATCCACAAGGCCAAAGTTAGTTATGTCGATCAAAGTGGTGTACGAGGAGCTGAGTTTCGACCCCCCTCCACCCCATACACACACAAAATGGGTAAGTACACACTTGAATATTCATACACATATATGCATGTATACAACGGCTGAAGCGGTAGAGCGTTGGACTATCAAGTTACGAATCGTGGTTCAAACCCTTTGGAAATAAGTCACTCTGACTTTTTTGGGTTGTCCTAGGTTCTCTACGCATATGCTGCTATGTATGATAATCTATGTAACTGTATTTGTGTATACCTAATTAAACTTACTTACTAGTCCAGCCTTCTGTTTAAAAACAAACCACACACACACACACACACACACACACACACACACACACACACACACACACACACACACACACACACACACACACACACACACACACACACACACACACACACACACACACACACACCCACACACACACATAGGCCAAATGTCTTATCGACAAGTGCCTTTGACAAAATGGTAACTAACACACACACATATTACCGACTACTTACTATTCAGCAGAACTCGGGTATTAGTTTACATTTTACAATACAAACGCCCTATGCAGGGGCTTAGCCAGGTTCTGAAGTTAGGGAGAGCGAGCACATAAAAATAGACACTATGACACGTACCAAATAATTTTAAATTTATTATGCATTTTTATTTTGTATTTAAAATCAAAATGCAAGGAAGATACAGTTTTAATGAAATGCATTCATGTATGTAAAACTACAATGTAATACTGTCTATAAAATGTATTTTTTTGTGAATGTTTTTGGGTTTCTGGAACTGATTAATTGTATTTCCATTATTTCTTATGGGAAATATAGCTTCGCCTTTCAAACTTTTTGAATTTAGAGCTAGCTCCTGGAACTGATTAAGTTCAAAATTTGAGGTTCCACTGTACTTCCCATTTCCAGGACTCAAGTCTGGCTATATACAAATAACCGGTTTCCCTGAATCCCTTCACTAAATATTACCCTGCTCACACTCCAACAGCTCGTCAGATTCCAAAAAAAATCATTTATATATAGTAAATATAGGTCCTTCATTTTTATAGCTGTCTGTATAAGGTCTTTCTTACTGAAAGTGCATAAAATCTGAGCAAGGCTGGTGTTTGCAACCTGGTTTGACTACATTACAACATGATTTGTCAAGGGATCAATAATCATCAGCAACTGATGTTGTGTCACTGGAAGGACTGTTGCCAAGCAAGAGGTTTGACTGTCAGTTGGTAGGAAATTTTGTGTTGTTTATTTCAACATCGGCTAGTTGTTGATGTTGTAGTTGATACTTGAGGAAAGTAGTTAAAGAACTCTGCTTAATTATTATTTTCTGCCTTTATGGTAATTATCTTTTCATTGAGAATTGCATTTTTTTCAGTTAGAGTAAGTTGATTATTATTATTGTTGGTGGTGGTTTTGGAGATTGATGCCACAAACATTTTTTAATCTAAGATGGGATAACATGGTGGCACGCTAGGTCGAGGTGTTTGACATTGTTAGCTGGCAGAGATTTTCATTAGATGGTCTAGTTAAGGAGGTTTTAAGCCTTTCA